AGGCATTAGGCACAGAACTTGGGGGCCCGATCCTTTAGGCTTACTTACAGGAGTAAGCTTTGCTGGCAAAAGCCACGGTAGTTTCTTTCAGGAGTAAGGCTAAACATCAGCCGTTCAGAATCGCTCCCTCTGTCTCCTCTAGAAGACCCCGCCCCCCCAGGATTTACTTTCCCTTTACAGGACATGTAGAAACCTAGATAGCAAAGCAAGGGGTTTGTACTGAGGTACAAGGAACAGCTCCACGCGATCAGCTGCCTTGTTCCTAACCCATCTCTGCACAGCCCGCTGTCTCTTGCAGGACTCAGGGAGATCGACCAGCATTAGCAATGAAGGTTTTTAATTCTTTCCAAGATGGGAGGGGGTGGGGGGGGGTGTCCTCTACAAACCAGAGCACAGAGCTCTTTGGAAATAGTCCTCCCTGCTCCACACCACCCTGGGAGTACCATGCCTTGCTCCCTAGGTCCTGTGAACTCCGCTGGAAATTCAACTCCCACTGAAAAAAAAGAGAGAAACCTGGCGAGATTATTTATCAGTCCAGGAATCTCCTTGATAAAGCGCTCGTTTAATTGTATTCCGCCCCAAACCGTGGCTCTCCTTCTGATAAGGATAGAGCTTCACCTGAACACAGGAAACAAAGCCGCTGTTCTTGCCCTTCGGGTTGGTGCTGTGCTGCAGTGAAGACGCGCCTGAAACCTGCAGTGCGTTTGAGAGGGGGGCACCTGCCCTGTAGTTGCCTCACAATTAGTTACAAGAAGATTGCTTTTCCACATGTGACTCTGATGACCTTTACTAAGTGATTCTCTCCTGACTCCCTAACTGCAAAAACAATCTACTACTGCTATTGAGCCTGCAATATCAGATGAACCTTTGCGAGTGAACGCTGCCTCGACAGATGTTTGTGAAACGCACCAAACTACCCGACGGTAGATGATCACTATGATCCATGTAGGTTTTGTGTGTGTTTAAATGGGTGGGTTTATATGTGTGTGTGTATTATCCTATACACACACATGCACATATGTATACACACATACATTTATACACACATAATGCCTATATGCATATAGGGATCATAGTGGTCATCTACATGCCTGATACATTTATAGTGCACACACACATATGTGTATATATAAATGTGTATATCAATGTATGTGTGCATATACATGGATGTGTTATGTGCGTGTTTGTCCTACACACACATGCACACATAGATATATAGACATAGATATATAAATATATGTATACATCTGCATATTTTTATATGGACTCTATAGCCCATATAAGCCTTCTTTGCACACCCCCATGTATACATACGGTCTAGTTGACGTGTATTGGAAGTAATGAGCGCAGTTTTGTAGCTGAACTCCAGCCAAACCCTCTTGATGTGACTTGTTCCAGCTGCCTAGTTCAGTTTTGGGCCTTACAGAGCATCCCACCCTGCAGCAGACTCGAAGTAAAGCCATGGCCTGTCTCTCCGTTTCTGTGGCAGTGGAGTCAACTGCCCACTATTTGATGTCTCCTTTAGCGTCAAGAGCCGTACTTAGTACCACCAGTTACCTAATCCGAGCACAGCTGGACTGTAACCGGATTGTTCTTCGTGTTGCTCAGAGAAGACAGAATAATAATCCAAGACAGTTCCCAGCAAAACCAACGGGGTATTTAAATGTCGCCTCTCCATATTTCTCTATATCGCCATGTATATGGGAGATTCTTTAGTTAACTTTCTTTTAATCAAGATTATCTTCTGCGGTCCTTGTCATTACATCTGATTTTTTTTTAATTTGTCACCTGAGTCACATCATAATTCCCATAATAGTGTTCTGAGAATACTCTTCTTACTTCATGGATTTATAGGAAATGCTTCTCTATTTTTCCCCTAAGATTACTCTCGTGAGTAAAGTGAGTAAGGCCTATCCTACTAGACACAGTCTTTTTCGCCCTCTTCCTCCCCTTTACGGTAAATTAGCATTGATCAGTTTCTGTCTTTTTCATAAGAAAATCAAGTTAATCCCTGGAAATTAAAAATTGTATTTTTGTTTTGCGGAGCTCGTAAGCTTTTCAGCAAATATCCCTTTGGCGTTTGCTGCTAAGGTTAAAATAAACAGAGTTTAAGGGACTAAGATAAAAAAAAAGGCTATTCCCCCCCCCCCCAATGTTCCATTTTCAATAGTTTATTTTTTCTTTCTGTGTTTTTTTATATTGTAAAACATAAGGTTATTAAAATATAAGGGCGCCTTCTAGCATGTTACTTCAGAGGCTTGTTTCATTTTATCTTGCTGGCTCTTAACTGTTTTAGGCCAATTCCTCCTGTGGGAAGTTTGCTAGAATAAGGCATACAGGATCGCTTCCGAGGCTTGCCTGAGTGGAAATTCACCTGCTGGGCTCCAGAGAAATGCCCGGGCAATGTCCTTTGACAGCTAGTGCAGTGGGAATTTCATCGCGAATATGATCATAGCTGAGCACATTCTCCCAGTTGTGGATTTGGGACCGATTCTACTCCTTGGGACTTTTGCCACTGACTTCAGTTTTGGAGCAGGATCGGCCCCTTCAATGCAGAAACCCCATTTTCTCCCAGAAATCTTGTAGCTTCTGCCCGTTTAGTCCAGGACCATCAAGTCTCTCTTCGAGCAGTAGATATTGCACCTTCCTCGTTTTTATCCCCTGGATTAATGTACCCGATAGGGTACATTAGCAGCAGTGAAGGCACTCGACTTTTTAAGGGCTGGAAGTTGGTTGCTTTTCTCTGAGCTTTTCTCCTTATTTTTGCATGTCTTTTAAAAAAAAATCAGTTTATGTGCATCAAACTACTGCTTTGTGAGGCTTGGATGATTCTGTTGAATGGGGTTCACTCTGATGGGAGCTTCGGATGCTGAATAAATGCCCATAAATGTCTTAACAGTGCTTTTTTTTTCAGTGAGAGGAAATTTCGGCAACTGATATAAAGCCGGAGCAATTTCCTCTAGTTTATGTACCGTGCTGTCCCTTCAAATTCTTGCGAATAAAAATAGCATGTAGACCCCCCCCACCTCTTTAATGACTGTCATTTGCACAATTTATATCACAAAGCAAGTCCTGCATCATTTAAAACCCAGGAAGGTTGGGGGGGGGGGTATCTGAGGCAGGAATTAATGTCTAAATTTTACAGACTCCCATATTTTTAATGTGATGTCAATCCCTTATTTAGGAGACGGTGGGTTTTGTTGAATTAATAAGATAAACAGTGAGAGCATATTATAAGTCAGCCTTTAATCCTAATGCAAGGAACATCATAATTATGGGGAGGATAAGTGAATCTGAAAGCAGACCTTCCGAGTCCCTGATTGCAGGCTCCACTAGGGCAACAACCGCTGTGTGTCTAGTTTTTAGCTCCTCTGGGCTGTTTGAGTGGCTGGGGGGAGGTGAAGAAGGGGAGAACCCCCAGACCCTGGGCTAAACTGGAAGCAGACAAGAGAAGAAAAAGAAGCCCACCCCCGGTTTCTTTTAGCCCGCACGTGCCAAACTTCTTGGGAACTATTTTTAAGAAGGTTTGGAGACTGGTGGGGTGGCTTTCCTAGTGCGTGCAGGGTCTGGGCAAGGTGTGACCTTGGCAGTGAGGGTCAAGCTCTCCCCTGGCCTCAAACTGCAGCCCCAGGAGGCCCTTTCCAAGCAGCCCTAGGCGCCAGGGGCTCTTTCCTCTTGCTGTTGCTCAGTCCCAGCCGGGCCCTTCCCCAGCGCCTGCTGGCACGGGCAGAACCCACTCTCCTTGTGCAAGGCTTCTTGTGCCTTCTCGCTGCCTCGGCTGGGCTCTCCCCGGGGCCCTGGGGGAGGACGGGTAAGGGTGCCAGGAAGCTGCCCGGACGGGCACCCCGAGGTGAGGCAGGGCAGGGGCTTGTCGTGCCCGGGGCGGGTTGCGAGGGGGGGAGGCGGGTTCGGGCATCGCCAGGGGGGAGGCGGGGAGGGGATCATGGCCCATCCCTTTCCAGCTGTTTGATCTCTGTCTCTGTCTCTGCCTCTCCCACAGGGGCTTCCACCTCCGGCAGCTGCAGCGGCGAGGAGCGGGCGCTGTCCGATCAGAACCAGGCTGCTCCCGGGTGAGTGCTTCCCCCCACCGCACCCGTGGGTGCGCAGCTCCCCGCTTTGCTCCCGGACCACAGGCGGCAGCTTCAGAGGCGTTGGGAGTGCCCCTTCCCCCGCCCCTGACCCAGCGGGGAGGCGGCGGTACTGGAGGGCCCAGCTGGCCTTGGTCAAGGGGAGGAGGGATGCTCAATACATGTCTTTCTTACTACTACTTTCAATGCGTGTCACCTAGACCGTATACATGGAGGTGAGCAAAAAGGGGTTGTAGGGGCTTTGGAGCCCGTATAAAGATAGGTGCATATGCAGAGATATAAATACATATATTTATAGATCCATGTCTATATATCTATATCTGTGTGTGTGTGACAGGTGCATATGCAGAACTGTACTTATATTTATAGATCCATGTCTATATAGCTATAGCTGTGTGTGTAGGACAAACCAGCCTTGCCCGTGACCTGTGAAGACCCTGGCTAGGCCTGGCGAGCAGGTCCGGCCTCGGCCTGGCGGTGCAGGGAGCCCCAGGCCCGTGGCTGCAGGGCATGAGACCTTCCCGGGGGCCCCGGGGGTGCGGCGGGAGGGGAGCCGCGGCGCTAGGCAGGAGGCGGAGGCGCTTCCCGGGCGGCGCTGGCGCGGGCTGCTGGCCCAGGCCCAGGCCCAGGCCCCTCTCAGCACTGCCAGAGAAAGGTCCCAGCAGCCCTGCAGCCGCGGCTCCCGGCCCAGGGACAGCTTCCCAGACGCCTCGTGCCCAGCTGCGGGTTGCAAGCTGGGTGGCAGCTCTTCTCACCACTACTGCATTCAAGCAAATATCCAGGATTTGTGTTTTTGAAGCACACTCCCTGGCGCTGGCAGGTCAGCCTTGCAGTGGGGTGTCCCCCGCTCGCTGGCGCCCCTGGGCCACACAGCCTTTTTTTGCTGTGACCCCCTCCCCCCATTAATGACAATAATCCTAAAGGGGGGGGGGGGGGGGACAACATATGATACAAGAAATAACATCGAATGAAAAAGAAAGGAAATAAAATAGAAAATGAAATAAAAAAGAATAAAAATGAAATGAAGTGAAATGAAATGAGAATAAAGGAAAAATCAAATAAGACAATAAAAGAAGAAAATGAACTCAAATACGATTTCAATCAAATCCAGTCAACATAAAAAATGAAATTAATAGAAAAAATACCAAATAAAATGAAATAAAAATCAAATAAAAAAATAAAAAATCAAACCCGATAAAAATAAAAAATGAAATTAAAAGGAAAAATCTTATAAAAATAAAAATGGAATTAAAAGGATCAAAGCAAACAGAAATTAAAGAATGAAATTAAAAGAAAGAAGTAAATAAAATAAAAATTAAAAAAGGAAATTAAAAGAGAAAACCTAATAAAATAAAAATGAAATTAAAACAAAAAATCAAATCAAATAAAAATTACAAGACGAAATTAAAAGAAAAGCTCAACTCCCAATGAAATGTAATTCATAGAAAAATCAAATCACATTAAAGTAAAAATTGTTATGAAAAGAAAAAAATCAAATAAAAATTAAATAAAGAGAAAAAAATCCAATCACATAAAATAAAAATGTACATGGGAAGAAAAAATCAAATTAAATAAAGATAGAAATTGAATTCACAGAAAAAATCAAACAAGAATAAGATCAAATAAAAAATGAAATTTAAAATAAAAAAATAAAGGGAGGTAGAATCAGATATTATAACATCCAGGCATGGGAGAAGATACTGAGGCGAGCTGAGACGCAGGGCCGCGGCCCCGTGGGAGCGGACAGGGGCAGGGGCAGCCCCCAGGCCGGGGCTGGCGCGGGCGGGCGGCGAGTGGCGGGGCAGCCCCTGCAGGTGGCGGGGAGAAGGCAGGGAGCTGCGAGCCCAGGAAAGAGTTAAAGGGAGGGGACGTGGGCTGTCACGCGTCATTGGGCAGATTATGTGCAGCAAACAAAAAGTGTGTGTCTGTGTGCCAGGCAGTCACTGCATCGGGTCCATCTGTACAAGTCCCGCTCCCGCGCTCTCCCCGGCGCTCCCCCTCTCCCTTCCTCTGCCTCGCTCCCTCCATCCCTCCGCGCGCAGGACAGCAGCACGATCCTGCCATGGAAATACACTGATCCAGGCGGGGGGAGGGGGGGCAAGGCGAGCCGCTCATCCTTGGCCACTTTCTGCCTCCCTCGCGTTTCGGATTATTTTCTGCCCTCCTTCCTGGTGAGTACATTTGCATGAAGGGGCTGCGGGGGCGGAGGGGGTCTTTTCCTCTCTCCCTCCTTAGCTAAAACAGGGGAGATGCAACCAGATCCATACAAAGGAGTCTAAGGAGAGCATCTAAAACAAGAGGGATGGCGAGGAGGGGCTGGCGGCTCGGATCGGGCGCGGACAATGCCTCGGGAGAACCGGGCAGGGCCAGGCCGGGCTGGGCTGAGCCGGGCGGCCGCCGCGGTGTCATTGTTGCGGGCAGCGCAGCGCGGGGAGGAGCCCCTTCCCAGCATTGTTGCCTGGGATTGAATTTTAATG